AGACCAGACCCAAGACCAGACACAAGACCAGACACAAAGCCAGACACAAGACCACACCCAAGACCAGACCCAAGACCAGACACAAGACCAAACACAAGACCAAACGCAAGACCAAACACAGGACCCGACAGAAGACCAGTCACATGCAACAGGGTGAACAATGACAAAGGAATGCTTTTGCTGCAGTTCATTTGAAGAGCTTGTGACTTGAATGCAGACTGGAGGTCTTGTGTTGGTCTTGTAGAGTATTGTGATAGTCTTAAGACTAACAAAAGTGTCAGCAATTGTTGGCAAGTGTTAAACTTAACTCAAGTTAGCAAAAGTGGGGAATATAAATCTGTACCCCTGCAGTAATGAAGCGGGTGTGTCCCATAAAACAAGTCTCCCGCCCAAGGCTATGAAAATGAAAGATTACTTCTAAAGACCTACCGCATCGCCACACGGAATCTCAGTGACAGTGTCGAAAGTTTCTCGGTCCAGAAAGACCAGTTTACCCTCCCCTTCCCCTTTCTTGACAGAGGTGCACGTGACTATCATCTTGTCGTCTGGGCTGAACAGGCAGTCTACCCTGCTGGGGAAGAGGGGAGGATTGTGGGTGAGGGCAAAGCATAACTTGGTGATGGGTCTAACATAGGTTTTGCAAACAGCAAAAGAATCCTGTGTCTCTAAGTAGGAGACTTTACCGCACTTGTTTCAGCCCAGCTGAAAGCAAACAAAAGCCCATGAGGGCAGAGACTGTTTCTGTTGGTTAATATTAATTGACTCAATCCTCAACATGGCTGTCGGGGTTGCACACAGCCTACGGGGAGTTGAGAAGCCTCCTGAAGATAGTAACAGCCTGACTATCAGGGGTAATACTAGATCAAAAGCTTCAATCCCTCATTAAATAATGATGGAAGTAGGAAATACAAAACGTCTTTGTAACAAAGTGATATACATAAATCAAGACACAAGAACAGTTGTGAATTCTTACCCTGAGAAATAGTTTATGAGTCCAGTTGTGACGTTTATCGGTCTCTTAAAGTTACGTAAGTCCCACAACTTCAGCGTATCGTCCCCTAGGATGTGAGGAACCAGACAAGTCCGTGATGGATATTGACAGTAACTTTCATTTATTTCTTTCTTTTGGGAAAAGTGAGAGGTGACTATTCTTCATGTTGTCAAATCTTTTGTTTACCTCCTCGTGTGGCAAAGACCCTGTTGTCGTAGGAAAACGTCATGCAGGTGCTGTCACTGCCAACAGCATGGGCCGTCTTCTGGTGGTACGTTGGTCTTATCTTAAAAACAAAAAAAGTGGAATAAAATGACGGGATATTGGAGATCCTCTCCGCACATACCGTACTCTACCTCTCTATGGTGTAAACAAATTTCTGGATTTACATTTTTTAAAGAGCTATTTGTTTTTTTTTACAATTTAAAAGGCCTGTGCTACTTCCTGACACTGTGCTGAGTTTTTGGCAGACTCACGAATGGTTTCTTGACATCCCAGAGCTGCAGACTGCCATCCTGGCATGGGGCTGCGATCAGCTTGGCGTCGCGGCTGAAGGTGCAGCATGTAGGCACCGTCTTACGGCCACCGACCGACCGGAACTTAATGACCTCCTTCTGGCGTTTGGGCTGGTTGAAATCCCATATTCCTAACCGTCCTGACCAATGGAAGCGACACAACAATCTTTTGTAGTGCGTTACAAGGAGACTTCATGGGTTTTAGAAAGGACCACAAAGGGAGAGAACTTGATTAATCAACTCTGCTCTGAATCAGTTCCGTCTGTCTGGTGAATACAGGCTTTGCGCGGCAGCCACCTTGTGAGGTAGTTCTCTGATCCAAAGGGAAAACTCCTTTGTGCATACCCTATGGAACAAAAGCAATGGCCTGCAAGATGGCAGCCATGAAAACCCTCTATTTGTAGTGTTAGACTCAGTGTTCGCTGTTTAACAAGCAGTTCTTACCCATCATCTGAGCAAGTGATGAATTCCTCTTTGACTTTTGGGTTCCAGCAAGCCCCATTCAGGGCAGCCACATGACCCTGAAGAGAGAAGTAAAAACCTGACAAAAATTACTCAAATTGGATGCAAAGGCTTCTCATGTGAGATCTCCAAAGAACATGATCAGAATACCATAGCAAATGAATTGTTAGCAGTCAACGGCAGGTTGACCCAGGTGAGAAGATGAAAATGCATTTGCCTCAGAAACTCACAAAACAGTTTCCACTTCTTAAACCCTAGACCCTCCAAAATCCTCCAAACTCCACAACAAGACTTGCAAGGATTTTTCAGGATTGGGGAAGGTAGAGACATCACTATTACTGTATAAAGGGCTAGTTGTTCCTTGGAAGCCTTCATTACAAAGAATAAGTCATTGTGTCCCTGCACAGTTGCCAAGTGGAGTAAGGCTTTGGTTCCACGGCTACATACCGGTGCTTTGGATCTTAGTGGGCATACCTTGGTCTTGGCCATGTCCACTATGTACTGGTCACCTTTGGCACACTCCATGACCTCAAAGCCGTCGCGGTCGATGACCTTAGCCTGCGCCTTGGCAGCTGCTACAAGAATGCAGTCGCCTGTGATGCTGTACTGCAATGTCTTAATCTGATGACTGCAAAAGAAGAAACGAGAGGCAGTTTCACATCGTGACCCAGACAGTAGTAAAAGTAAGTTGCAACTACAGCGAGCGGTAGACAGCACATTTCACAAAGCATAGCTAACCTAACTACGCAGCATATGAGAATTCAGCAAAACCTTTCCTTTTTTTAACCAGGTATTTACTCTTGAAACTTTGCCCGCTGGGAAACTGACTGGACTGGAAGGCTGTCTGTGTATCAAGATATCTTCAAGCATCAGGCTCCAGATCAGACAGAATAGAGGCAGCGACACCGTCAGGCCTAGTGCGAGCACAGGCTGGCCTACTGACCTTTCACACGGTTGCAGCGACCGGAATGAATGCAGCGATGAGTCCATGGCCGCAAAGTCCCACATTTTCATCTCATAGTCATAGCCGCCTGTCACTAACCGTGAACCCGACGGGTCCAAGCTGATGGCTGAGACCTGCATGGATCAGTTGAGACGTGAGGCAGGAATTAATCAATATACCCATGTGTGCGGTACCTCGAGAGGTGAAAATTCCAAATGTTACTGTCAATGTAGAGCACGCAGGACAACTCTCCTTTATTAACATGACTAGCGATCAAAAAGGAATTACAATTTGAAATAAAAAAAAGAAAACTTTACTGAGTGTTTTTCATGTCATATAATTTTTTGTTGGATGTCAATGAACAGAGAAAATTCAAAGGCTAAATCTTAAATTTTTGAAATGGGAAAGTTAATTTATGCAGTTAAAACGCTTAAAAGAGTGACAAAGATGCAGAAGAATCCAATGGAAATTGAGGTCAAAACTCACCGTCTTAGGTCCATGGTTTAGTACAATTTCATGAGAGGCCGGTATCTTGCTGACAAGGCTCTGCAAAAAAAATCTTAATGCCACTTCAACGTTCCATTTTTATGTAATGTAAAGCAGCGGGAAGATATGTCGCGAACGAAACGTTAACATTGACCACTGAAAAATATAAAAATGAAGTAATCAAAAGGAAAGGGGAGTGGGATTTGAACTTGATATCATTCAAAACTTGTCAGGGAAAACTGCTTTAACCACTTCGTGCCGGTGGCAGTTATCAAAGTGATGATGCTGGGACGGGATGATTATCATTTTCTTCTGTTTTCAAAATCCTTTAAAAATTCCTATCTTCACTTACACCCACACGAAGGACTGTCTGGTTTCTACTCTAATCTGACAGACAACATCTATTGACACTGGATTATTTTAGCCAGGCCTGCTGCCTTGTAAAAAGAGCCCAGATTTTGCGGTGTTACATAATTTTCTTTTGTTCACGAAACTGGCACAGTGGGCTGCTGACCTCTTTTCAATAGGAGCCAGATTAGCATGCAGCGGTGCTGTGTGGCTCATTGCTGCGGTGGTGGAGCGTTTTTGTCCCCCAATGGTAATCTGCTCACACTAAAACCCCTAAAACAAGGCTAGAAAACGTGAAAAAATGTTGGTAATGCCCAGCAGCCTGGACTTTTGTTCCGAGTACGGTCTTTTGTTGCAAGGCCCAGTTCCCTTGTCCGATTTCAGAGACACCGGCCATGCGTATAAAGAATATGAGTCCTGTACCGGAAACCCCAGTGCCAAGTGGTTAAAATATCATATATTTGATTTTTCCAACCAAAAAATCCAAGCTTCATCCCAAAAATAGAAATTGATAACAGCGGAATTTAGCAGGGACAATGTTCTTACATCATCTTCTTCCTCTTGATTATCGTCAATCTCATCATCATCAACATCTGATTCATCATCAGCCTGGCTCACTTCATTCGCCTTTGACGAGGATGTTTTGGAGGTCGTTGGGGCTTGAAACCCTGGTGGCATAGGTGGACCTGAGCGATTGAGAAACCAAACATGTCTCAAGAAACGCTTCCTCCACATGCAAGGAATGTTTTGCTGCCCTGCTCTGAAGAGAGAGATTTTACCATCCAAGTTTAATGATCAAACTTTCAAAGAACTCTCTCTTGAGATCACCCTTTCCGGAACTGTTGGACCTTTACAACCCCAACTGGAATACTTTCAAAGTATCAAAGCTCTCACTGTATGCATTCTTGCAACTTTTAGGATTGCATACAATATTTCATGGACAAACCCGGCAAGTTTTTTTTTAAACTGTACACCTTTGGATATCCTGGATGTTTGGGATTAGACAAAAACCTGAAAGGTTTGTTGCATTTTTTTTGGTTTACCGATCATTTCTGTATCACTATCACTGGAATCTTCAGAATCATCGCTGTCGCTGCTTTTGTGGCTGTCGGCCCTTTCTGCTCTTTTCCCAGACGGCTTTGCCGGTTGCACAGTGCCCTCTGGTTTCTTGGCTGTCAACTGTTGAGCTGTGCGCCGTGTCTGTTCAAACATCGCACTCACATCAAATGTCCTGGCTTTTTTACCTTGGTGTTTACAAACAAATTGTACAAACTATGACTAAATATTTGAAGTGTACCTCCCTGGAGGAAGTAAAAGCAGGATTGAGGGCAGAATGAGCCTGTCCACTATTATGCTAGGCCCAAATATTTGGCCGAAGCTTGAAATCCAATACAAGTCTATGATAGTGGCGGTTGCCACTACCCATAGGGCTGTGTGTAATTCTAAGCCGGAGCCAAACAATTCAGACATGCCGTCGATTTGCATGGGGCTTAATGTACATTACAAGTTGACAGTACCAGGGAGGTACAGTTGGTTTTCTGCACAGTGGAGGATTTTTCGCAAGACTTGGGGAGAATCCTCGTAAAGAATTACCTTGAAATTAGGATTTAACAAATATCGACAATGCCAAAATTGTGTGTTGTCAAATTTGCTACTTACAATGACACAGAGTTGATCTCTGGGGCTAATTTGTGATAAGTTTTGCCTTCAGGAAATAGGCAGTTTTATCGCTGCCTCAGCTGGTTTTAACCGCTACACGTATCATTTCATTAACATGGGCCCAGAAAGCTTTAATATCTTTGCCTGAGGTAAAACAATTCAACAAGCCAAGCTGCCCTCTAGCGCCTGAGGCTGTGGTCAGATTTACTGTATCAACCAACATGGTGCACTTACCAAACCCCGAGAAGCCCATAACTTTGGCCATGTCATCCTCCAGTTTGGCAGATCTTTCCTCAGAGTCATCTTCGTGATCCACCCTCATGCTGGCTGAAATGTTTCCACCCCCACGTCCCCTCGCACCTTAAAGTTCAAACATTTGGACACAATTTTAAGGCGCAATTATGGAGACATTCTCCACACAGCTTTCAGGCATTTAACTTAGACTTCGACAAAACAAGGACATTCCAGGTTACATTCTAATTCTGAAAATGGAGAATGTTCATATGAAAACATTTATCTCTAAGCAGCGTAGCCGTTGTCTGTCATTCTGCCTTCTAACAGAACTTGGGCTGTACCGCGTCTTTCAGAAGAGTTGAGGGTGTGATATGTTGATGGTAATGTGCGTGTTGACGATGTGTTGGCGGTAGTAAGACCGCTTTAGGCTCATAGTCATGATGGTCTTGCCATGTTGTAAGCCTACAGTATAGTCCTGGATATCTCCATTATCAGTTGAAATTTCCATGGGATAGCTGAGACCTGTAAACAGGGCCAACTCCTTTGTCAATAAGGAGTATGTATAGGGCCTTGTTTATGGGTCTAGGGCTAGCCGTACCTACTTACAATCTTGGACAAAATTGTTGAAACATGTGTCATACAATAGCCCCACTCCCCAGGTCAATGTTGCCATTTCCAGTTGGAGTACAGATGGCGCAGTGAGACCCCAACATTGAGAGGGGGCCTGGGGATGGGGGCCTAACGACGTTTGGCCAGGGTTATAGCTGGAAGTGATTCATGACCACGATGACAGTGTGTTTGTTTCAGTGTTTGAAAAGAGTTCCATACAGGCTACGGACAACGCTACTTTTCCCTTAAAATGGTGAAGCTGTCACAAAGTGATAACACATCCTAAAAACATGAAAAAGTGAAATTAAGCTGGGAAACTTCCCAAACATTTACTTAGAAATTACACAGGTTTTCTTCAGGCAGGTCTCATAGGTTTATGCACGGAGATATCGAGTGTTGTCTGTATGGAACTCTCTCCCAATGTCTAATTAATGACGTGACAGCATGGATGACTAACATGCAATGCAGCCTAAAAACTACAGACTAAAGGTCAATCACTGATAACGTACAGGCATTATCAGAAAAATACTAAACAGAAGCAAAAGACTATGAGTAGTTGAGTTAGGCTAAGTAGCTAAGTGGGTGCCCGACAGGGCAGGTAATGCAGGTTAAACTGTTTCGACTGGTTGGGCGTATGGGCCTAGTAAGTAGTATAGCAATAGAAAAGTAGCAGGCCAAGCAAAAGTTAGGAAAGCTGGTGCTGGTCTGGTCATACTGGTAAACTAAAAATGATATGAGCAGATTTTTGAATGCGCGCATAACAAACGCCCAAACTCCTATCACCAGATCACAAAGTTACACGTAAGTATCTCTGGAAACGTTTTCAATGCCACAAAGGAAATTAAAGAGTGCTATAAACAACGTACAATTGCGAAGTAGTCGCATTTCTTCCAAGTCGTCATCGGAGTCCGCCATTTTGGCTACGGGTTTGTTGATATCATTTAAACCATGCGCCAGAAGGAGAAATTTCCCGGCACGCAACTTCAGAATTTCGATGAACCAAAAATGGTGGGCGGGACCCTGAATTTGCTGATAGGGGGGGTGCGGTGTCAGCCACCTTGAGCCGATCTTGAGTCATTAGCTTGGATTACGAGTTAACATATTTCTTCGGAACACTTTCAGTTAAATTTGGCAGGCTTTGGTCTTACCAGCCCTTTGGTGCATCTCTCTGGCAAACAATTAACCTCCAAGCCTATAAATAGTAACTGATAAAATTCTGGTAAAATTTAACGTGTTTAGTTGATTGTCCAGAGTTTTAATGTTTCTTTCACTACCATGTTTTTGGAGGGGGATGTGGAATATTTTCACCTTAAAGAAAAATCCAACGCAGTATTTTTTTTTCAAGAATTGAGTACGCGTGCAGTGTTGTAGGTTCGTAACGGCCGAGTTAAGAGATTCTTGACATTTTTTCTACAACAGGAAAGCTGTAGTGTCATTTTTCACGTTTATTTCCGAAAAATGGTCTTTATTTCAGTCTTCTTTAATGAGGGTAAACTCCATCAGTGCACAGCACTGCTTTTCATGGAGGCCCTCAGTGACAAGTATTTTTAGATAAGAACATGTACGTTCAACAGCAAAAAAATAAGACATTACACACAGCGATGTAACATAAAAACAGTAAGAAGTTTGGACAAATGCAGTTATTTAAAATCAATTTTTAAGAGGAGGATTAAACAATGTATAAACATGGAAAATATAAATATTCAATATAACATCTAAAATGTGCTTATTGGCAGACCTTTATGACATACATGTACAGATATATTGCTGGACTTACAAAGTATTATTGTTAACACGTGAAATGGAGTAAGTTATTCAAATTCTGAGTAAATAATTTGGATTTAGGATGTGTCTTGTCATCTGTTTTTACAAAATTCATTTTGCATAACTCAAGATGCATTTTCATTCCTGAATCGACATCACTTTAGGTCTGGGGCAGTTTTTCCTTGCAGGATTTAATTTTCGGGCAAGCATTCATGCACTTTCTCCAGGCAAGCTTGCGTCCTATAATCACTACGCTAAACATCTATGGCTTTCATCTGAGCTAAACATCTTTAACACACAAAAAGTGAACAAACACGACCATTTCTATCAAACAGGGAGACGAGTGCGGGGACGTTGCCAAAGGATTGAGGGCGTATGATTTCGCCCCAGACGTTCTCTGGCAGTTTGCACATGTATTTTGCTGGAACAAGATGAGTCAACAAAAAGGATTCGCGCAGAGCATGCAGAGGCCGCAGGGGAATCAAGTGAATATTTGATCGACACCCCTACCTCACCCCGCCGGCCTAGCCCTGTCATGAATGTCATATGTACGTGTAATGGGCGAGTGTCTTCCAGAAATGGATGATGCCGAAAGTTGTTGCTATGTACCTCTATAAACAGAACTTCGTGGAAACGGCACACATTCGTCATTAAGCTGCTTAAGTCTACTTCGTGGCATGGATGGCTGACGATTGTGCATCCGACCCACAGGAGGTAGATGAAGGATCTTCGTCTGTGAAATTGGGCGGTCGGCCTGCTGGGCATCGTTGATTGCAAGCCGTCGGAAATCTTCCCCACGAGTGAAGCACTTTCTGAGCTGGCACATCAGGTAGGTCAGTATACGTGAGTATACAGACTCACCTTCTATACAATCCTTGGGAGGTGTCTCTTTTTCCGGTAGATTGACCTAAAAATCAAGCAAAAGAACTGTTCACCGAGTGTTAAACCACTCTTGTGGCGTCACCCTATTCAGTAAAGTGTCGAATATGCAAAAGAAATTAAGAATGTACAGTGAACTGTACATTAGGAATGTAGTTTTTAAGAATGTACAGTTTGGGCATTCTTCCAAAACTGATAGATCAAACTTGACTTGAAAGACACAGACAAAGCACTTGGATATTCAATTACAACGTCAAACACGGTGAGAAATGCTCTCCAAAATAAAGCAGATTGTTTTAGACGTTCAATACGGTTAACACTCACATTTTTTTTCATTTAACGCGGTAACATTTTCTGTTGAGATTAGCGATTTTCAGTCAAAGCGAAAGGCTCCTTACGTTGCACTGTATCGTGTCTTCAATGTGTCTTCTTCATTTTTACATACCCCTTCCGTTTTTAGTTTTATTTCATCTTTTCTCCCCACTGTAATTAATTTATATTTACATTCTAATGGTTACGTATAATTTTTATTATTTTTTATTATTTTTCTTTGTGTATTTATTTTAAATTCACATTTAGCCACTTTACTTTCGGTTAAACTTCAGTTTTAACTCTTTCTCTGTTTAACAATTTTTAAAACGACTTCAACAAGCACAATTCATGTTTAATTTTGTAAAACAGATTAATCGTTTAGAAATGAAGGTATGATACTTCCCAGATGAATGAGATGATATTCCAAATGCATGCATTTTCCAAACGAAAGAATTTCCTTTGTTGACTGAGGGATTTCGAAACATAAACATATACTTTCAAGGTTGTAAACGTAACTCGCGAAACTTGCAATTTCTTGATGGTGTAAAAAGGTCCCCAGCTCCGTACAGTCATATCGATAGCCTTTGCTAACTTAAATTTAGCATAGGGCCAATTTTCGCAACTAACATATAGATATAAACCCATGTGTGTGCTGTGCGAAACACTGAGGGCGTCGACATCTTCGTGTAAAATATGTGTGCTTGTGAATGAATTTACGTACATGCAAATGTACATGTACATAGCTGTCAAGGCTGCACAAATAATGGTTCATCTCACGGCTCTCGTAAAGCTTTGTTCTTTGTACAATGTACACAATAATAGTGGAGAGGGACGTGGTTTAAGTCGGAGAAACGACTCAAAATATGGAGATTCTTTGATTCGACGGGATTATTTGAACTGCGACTGCTGGGCTGTGGTATGCCCTGAATGGAGGGCTTTATCCAGCAGCAGGCTCCACTGAACCACCAGCTAATCCTCACACAACAGTGCGGTAGTAGCTGTCCTCTGTAGCGAAAGGGATCACATGCAGCAAGGTATGAGACGGAGAGAACCCCCCTCCTGCTTTGTG